GTATGTGTGGTATGCACTAATCCTCACACAAAGGTGCTGTAGTAGCAGTCCTCTGTAGCGAAGGGGTTAAATCTATGACATACCAATACAAATCTCCATGTACGCGCAGCCATTTCTGTACCACGAGTGCCAAACTTAAAGACAAGGAATTGTTACTTTCCAACCTAAAGACACAGAAAACTTCACTTACTTTCAAGAAAAACATGCTTAAGTATTGGACAGCGGCTGTCATACGATTTTGATTGGCCTTCAACATGCCAGGTTATGGTGACAGCAGCTCTCCCATACTGCCAACAGCGTTGACGGCCGCGCTTGCCAACCAGTGGTAGAAGCGCCCACGCACCCGTCTCATTTTGCATATTTCATGGGGAAGGTCCGTTAACAGGGTGAACAATGACAACGGAATCCTTGTCTCTTGAATTCAGACTGGAGAGTTTGTGTAGGTCCTGTGATGGTCTTGCGATGCTGGCCTTAAAGGGTTTTCAACCACAGCACTGGCGTGAGTTTGCCCTACCTCAGTCGCGTAGAGGATTTCCAGTATTCTTTTAACGCAGGGTATTTCCTCACTGTCAGGCTCTTGGCATATAACCTCGATGTTCCTCAACTTCTCAAAGTAGAAATCCCTCTCCTTTTCTAGGCTGGCTATCGCAATCTCTGTCTCGTTAACCTGGCAGGAAGACATCAAAACGGACAGAAAAAAAACAAACTACGTTAATTGACTGGCACAACCTGTTAGTGACACAGATCACTTGTTGGCAACATGCTGTACCTCACACCTCTGATAATAGAGGTTTATTGTGAGGTGATGTTATTGCCATGGTCTGTCTTGTTCCCTGTAGACCCACTGGCCACGGCAGTACAAGTTCACATATTAATAAAAGGGAACTGATTATTTTCCTTTCCAGCCTTGGTTGGTTGCAATGTTTTGAATGGTAGAAAAGCCAGATGGTTGTCACTTGATAGAGTTCCATCAAGTGCCCATGTCCCTAGGACAATTATGATCAAATGCCATCATATCCTTGGATGTCCTGGTTCCCCGCTGTGCCTAATAATGTGACAAGCTGCTGATGACCAGTGATTGCAACCAACCTTGACAGGCAGGGGGTTCTACTGTCAAACTAACTGATCCAATTGACCGTCTATGACTATTATGCACCTGAGGAACATAACAAAGGTGACTACAGCCCATGAATCATAATGAACTCATGATCAGCTTTATATGAATCTGTATCTTTTCACTATCGTTAGAAACTCCAAGCCTGGATTTGGAAAGGCAAGGAAATGGGGGGCTCACAAATTACGGCACTGATCTTTTTCAAAACGGTCGGAGTACAAGATGCACCTTTTTAAGTACTTTCAACTTGAATAAAAAAAATCAAAACTGTTTTCATACAAACCTATCTGAAATGGCACAACATGCAGAAATGCAGTTGTGGAAAAAGAAACGGCGTGAAAATAGCTGCATCTCAAATTCTAAATTACACATTCTTGAAAAATACAAATTTTTTTCACAGGACTTAAAAAAATACATTGGGGGGGGCATGGCCAAAGACAGGCAGGTGCTTTCTGCCAGCCTCCACCATTCACGACTTGTATTGTATTGAAACATCTCTTTACTGTCTTTACTGAGATGAATGGAAATAAACCAAACCAACCAACCTGGATGAACTAATGCGAGTAACTGATACATCAGTCATTCTGTCTTCAAGACAGGAAGGAAACGGAGCCCTGGGGGGGGTCTATAAGACTGAGGTACATGTATTTCTCATTTCTGACCTTCAGTTTAAGCTCAGCGACTTCCACGTTCTCCCTGGCCTCCTGGTTGTTGTTTCTCATTGCCCCTCCGCCAGCCGGGCCCACCCTCTGGGCTGCAGGCCGCGCCGCCCTAGGCTCTGATGGCATGAGGGCAAAACAAAAGAGCAGCAGGGCATTAACGATTTGGCTTGCGGCTGCCGTTCTACTGATCAATCACTGCGTCCATTCATCCAGTTACGTTTTGTCAATTTGATTGATCAGAACCCACACTGTGAAAATGAAGGCTTCCCTCTAACAAGGTGCTAGGGAATGGGCGACGGCTTCTGACAAATTTCAGGAAAGAAACTTGATAAAAAAAATGTATGATGAACACAAGGAATGATTTGTAGAGGATGGCATGCATTGTAAGGACACACCAGAGTAACAATATTTCTTTATAACAGTCTCAGCAGAGAACTGTTGATAAAACTTGACAGGTAGATGAAAATTAGCCCCTTGAATAAAAAATTGGCTCTTTGATTAATTGAAACTGTAACCAAAAAGGAAATTATTAACTGATCAAAGACCTATGGTACATTTAGCAAATTAGCCCACTGATGAACAAGGGTTGTGGTTACAATAATTGGCAAGTGATGGGTGGATGAAAGGGTGGGGAAGGGGGTTATACAAACATGAGGGGACCTCACAAAATCTCCCTGGGGCATTTTCCTGTCTGGTTAGTGTCCCTGCCTTGTCTATGGGGAAGTAGGCTTGAACGATATTTCGGTATTACCGAATAGTGGCCTTTTTTCAACACTGAAAACTACCAACTGGTGATCTGTAATGGAATTTTGATATCATGGTATTCTTGCTAATGTGCTTTGAAAAGAAAGGAAAAACCACCGCATTGTCGTATTTCACTCAATTGTTTTGGTGGTAGATTTCATCTAGCGTCATATCTGCATTGTGACTGGGACTTGGAAACATGAAACGTGAACCACCGGCCAACCCAGCAGCCAAAAGCCTTTGAAGTTTCATTGTCCCCTCCCCTCCCCTCCCCCGTCATTGTATTTGTGTTTTTGGCGTACATGAAGCTGTTAGAGTCCGACTGGAAGTCAGCGGTAGTTGTCAGCATTCCAAGTGAATGTTGCTGCTTATCGCTGTTGCTTTTCGATGACACGCACTTAATATCTCACTTCAGAGAATACGGCAGTATTAGTGAATATCAAAGTTGCTTTTTACGAAAAGTATTTTTTAAAAATGCAATACCGTCCAAGCCTATGGGGGAAGTGTTACAGGAACAACAGTAAACACAATGCCTCCTCTGTGGCGTGGTCAAACATGACTGTGTGTGGTATACCGGGGTGGGGGGGGGGTTGGGCACAGATATACACAGAAATGGTAATCTTAACAGAAATTGACAAGAGTGACACATGTACATCCACACTGGAGCATAATTAATTCCCTGAGCTGCAACAAGTCACTGGCCTCAACTTCAGGTTGTTATGCTAATTACAAAGATGTAGATTTCGTGAAGCACGGCTAGGGTCATGTCCATAGGCTGATGCTGTAAAGTTACCCCCGTCATGTTACAATGTATGTCTTCGCCCAGGAACACTGGAGGTCATTGGCAGAACTTCTTGAAAGCGATCCTTCCATTTGTTAGCACATAGACCTATACACTCAGCTTGCTGAGGTCACATTGATGGTTTGCCTGACAGCGCCCCGGTGGATACAAGAAACCTTCTTTGTAATTGTGGGCTAAGTCTTAACCGACCTCAAGGAAAGAATTCCATACACAAACGCCACTACTTTTTTCCTACAGTCACCTAGTAGCCATCTGAAAGCAATTTCATGACCTAAAAAGTCAAATTTAGCGGGCAAAATATTGAGGTATTCACGTAAAAAAAACAACACTTCAAATTTTTCAGGCCAAGTCCCTAAGGGTTTGGGCACAAGGTGTCAAGCGGCGTCCATATAAGGAAGTATTTCCGACCTCGGAAGTACTGACATGACATTTTGTATGTGTATGCATGTGTGCCTTCCCATGAGAGCAACATGGTTACCATACATGTATATGTACTTGTAGTTGTTAACAACCATCGCCACAATGCAAATAATAACCATAATTATTATTACCGAAAATGGGTCACTTGGGAGACATTGCCATAGCAACATGCACAAAATTTTTCAAACTTTACCGTCCCATAATTCAATATTCCCTAATCCAATCTTAACCAAACTTTGCATGTTTTCCTTTCAGACCCTAATCTATCATCTCTCAAAATGTGGACAATAAAAATTTTCCGCCTTTTGGTAGTTGGAGCATTAGACCGATGTCTCCCTAATGTTGAAAAATTTACCACAAAATGTCTCCCAAGTGACCTATTTGGAAATATTAATGATTCTACTTACGAAATTCCCCTTCTACGAGTCGCAAGGTTAGCATTAAGACAACAACGACATCTTGTTAGTGAATCTTCACCATCGCATCAAAATAAAAAGTGCAAAGGGCCAAAAAGTGAGACATCAGAACTGTTGTTCTGAAATTCTGATTGCGTTACCTACGGCAACAACCGGCTTTTTAGGCGAAACTCTTGGCTCGGGTACTAAATCAACACAGACACATTCAAGACATTCAGTTCAACGCAGACTTACAGTTATTACACATTCACAGAATACAACAGCAGGGTTGCGTTATGACAAATATAATAAAAGACCTTGACGGTAAACGAAGTCTTTGAAAAGCGAACAAACTCTCAAAGGCAAACTTTTACTTTCAGAATCTCGCAAATGGCTTTTTCAAAGATGTTTAGATACAAACTATCAGCAAAATGAGACCTCACTTGGCAAACCACATCAACTGATACCCCTCAAAGAACAAACTGCCAGACAGCCTTGCTCCAAACATCACTTTCACTATGGAACCTTCCAAAATGCACCCAACCCAACACTGAAAGCGTATGCTAGACAATGGCAGGTACTTGAACAAAATTACCAGTATAACATGACGTCTACCCCCCCTCCTTTTGCTACAGCTGGATCCAAAAGCCTCAAGCTTACCCCAAAACACAACATGGATCAGTGTGAGCGGATTTCAAAGGGATAAGAGGGTGTTAGATGGAAACATGTGCTGGCGTCTTCTGGGCACCAAGTACATGTGTAAGTTATTCATGACAAACACATTTATAAGGCTTTGTGGATGCATGTTGGAACGCAGGTCTCTGTAACTTAGCGGGCGCAACTGGTCTATTCGAGGCAAATTTAGTACCCTAAATTTTAAATGCTGGCACAAAAAAAACACTTGGCGGTCAGGGTTTATCGCACGACTCTTGTCTGGCCACTTACGTGCAGGTCTTTGCGATGGAGGAGCCTTCCTGACGGGCGCTGCCCCCGTGCCTGCTTTGACGCCCTGTCCTGCCCTTGCAGCAATAGGGTCGTATTCCCGTCCCTCATAGTTGGCATCAAAGAACTTCTTGAACCACTGGATGAACTCAAAGTTATCCTGGAATTTGCCCTTGATCAGTTTGTCTATGGGTATTACCTTTGGAGAGGAGAGATTTCAAGATTAGGGTTTGGTTAGGGTTTGAAGGAGTTCTTTTGTTTTTGACTTTAAAAAAAAAATCATGTTGTTTTTGTTTTCTTTTCATTTTAAACAGATACAACTTACTTTATCAATGCCGGCTTTTTTGAAGATGCTCTGAACGTACTTCCAGTTTGTGATGTATTCATGCTCTAGCTTCGAGTTGAATTTGATCTTTTTCAAGTTGATGTTTGCCCCTGGGAAGAGCAAGTCGAGAAACTGAGCATAGGCAGCACCTGTCAAAATGTACAACCAATCAATCACCGCATCAAACATGGACAAAAATAAGTGAGCAGACACCAATAGAGGGTTTGCATGGCTGCCATCTTGCAGGCCATTGTTTTAGTTCCACTGGGTATGCACAAAGGAGGTTTCCCTGTGAAACAAAAGAAGTGCCCTACAAGATGGCTACCATGAAAAGCTTCTATTGGGAGCCTCTACAATCAATCAATAGAAACATACATGCAGTCACCGTTTGTGTAAAGGTAGCTCAAAAATCAAAATACAACATATGAAGCAATGTTACAAACAAATTGCCAGATTCACAGCCTTCCTTGTTTTTTTTTTTGGTTCTTTTCGGCGGGCTCCTCATTTTTTAACTTTCCAATTCATTAAAACTCACTGCATATAATGTAGACAGGTTTGGGGGATATTAAAGCCACTTCATATGGAGCTGAGTCTGGCTTAAAAGTTTTCAAGTCCAAAAGAATAATCCACTGGATTCTAGTGCAGTAAAGGGACTGTCGAGGGGTCAGGAATTTTCCCTCACCAAAACTGCCCGTCGAAATGGGGTGAAAAGTCATTGAGGTTTCCTCCGGCATCCTACTGCATCCCAACGAATCCCATTACCACGCCAAAGCACCATACCTGCTCACTTGCAAGAAGTTTGAATTTTGTGGCTTGATTGCAAATTCTTCCAAGGGTGAAAGGGCAAGTAGCATCTCGCATGAAATCAGTGACTAGAATGGAAGTTGTTACAGCGCAGCAGGTGGCATCACACTTGCACTCAGGTGGCACGTGCACAGTGCATATAATGCCTCTTCCTCTGGCTAATATGACTTGCCATGCCTCAATTCTAAGAGCACACACGTGAGTCTGATTCCACCGCAATGACGTGTCCTCGGATTAGTTGAGAGGCCCCCCCCTCCAAAAAAAAACCCCTGCATGTAGACATTACATTTGTTCTTTACCTGAACACATTTCTTCAATTTTTGTATAGTGGAGAGAGAGGGAGTTGTTGACCCACTGTAGCATATCAGCTCGGCTGAGGTTGTCTGTCGTTTGGTTCGTACTCATAACGTTCACTACGCTGATGTTGGCCATCTTGAAAAAAAAATGGGTTGACGAGACAAAATTCCACCTGCAGAAAGACCACACAACACAAGATCAAATGCACTGCAATGCAGCCAAGGCAACTTTAGGCTTCCCTCTTCAGAACTCTTAATATCTTCATCCCTGAGTTGTGAGTTAGCAGGTTCCTTCAAAATAGAATTTTGCACGTCCCATCATCAATAACTCATGAAAATAAAAACCAATCGTCTGAATTCATAGGAAAAAAGAGTCCTGAAGATTTCAGCATGTAATTCAATCTGCAGTTTACGAAATCTGAATCAACTAGATGAGAAATGGTACCCAACTACCCAGGTCATGTGCAATAATATTTAGGGAGGTACGAGAGCAGTCAACGTATTGTGCCATAAATACAAGTACGGTACATGTACTGGTTCATACACACAGAATAGTACAGATCAACACTGTGTGGTGCGGTAGAAACTCCAAACTCTTTTGAAGCCCAGCTGCAGGATTTCAGTGAGGATTAAGGAAGTGTCCAACAGAATGCCCCAACAAGGCAAACTGGGCTTGAAACTCGACAGAAACCACGCTTCATTCGAGGTCTATTCAAACGTACAACTGCAAGTGTGCGAAGATGTAAAAGGCAGTAAAGCATACATGTACATGTACATCTGCATAATGAAGTTATTCTAGCAGCCCTGCAGATCACGATAAGGTACATGTAGAAACCATACCATATGCATGTGTGTACATAACCTAGTTTTCAATACAAATTCCCGTTAGATTCTGCCAGAGTAGGCGCATGTACATGTAGGTACATGTACATATACCTGTCGGAAATCAGAATCAATAACAGACGACCCTACATGCACAAACCATGCAGCGATAGATGCAAGCAGCGGCAGTTTTGTTTTTTTTAATACATATATTTTTCGAGCGAAATTCCAAGTACGGCAGCGCGCATAATCTGGTTAGAGATTGTACTGTAATCAGAGAGCGATGATGCTAAATTATGAACGGTCACGTCACACTGTGTGTGTGTGGAGCCGTCTTGGAGATTATTCCAACGTGCTTCTTGTGTCTGCGTGCAAAGGCTGAGTCACCGCGTGCCTGATGTTATTAATGAAGGCTAGGGGCATGGGCTAAGACGCTGATGCAAGAACTGTGGGTGATACTCATATCAAGTAATCAGTGAGCAATAAACTGTGATAACCAAATTCAGGCCAGTTTTTTCCCTCCCCCCTTAAATGTCATCTTCGTCTCAGATCCTGGAATCGCTTTCAAAGGCCCACTCTTTGAAACAAATGATTAACACCAAACCTGGGCCCACACTTGAAAACAGCACAGCTGACAATGGAGCAGCCTTAAGTCCATTCATTAAGGATCATAACTCTAGCAACATTTAAATTCGTGAAATACTGGTAAATGGACTGAGGTTTGGAAAACTGCCTTGGTCATGTCCATAACACACTACATGGACTCTGTACATGAAGTTCTGTACAAAGAAGTCACATGTACAGTACAGTCATACATACTGTACATGATGTACCTCACGTGTACAATTCATATCATAAAAAATGTGGGCTACCCAGTCAGACAAGTATACATTTGCAGTCACATCATAAGTAGGCAACGTTCATGAGTATGTGTACACGTAAAATGTACAAAATGGCCATACTGTATAGTGTCCATATATGTACAGTACATGTACATGTACACATGTCCCTATATTAATAAGCTGCTTTGAAATGATACAGGTACATGTACATGAATGCACATACTCAAACACACTGCTAGATCTTGGAAATGGGTACACCTTGAGTGGAAAATTACAGGTGGGTAAGATGTACATGTAGGTAGGTACATGTAAGCAGAAGTAGAGAGTCCAAACTGAGGCTTGTTTGAAGCACCACAGTACATGTACATGTACATGGACATACCCGTGCATTATGCAACAGAGGGGTAAAATTTCAGTGCATTTTGGCTGATTCACAAGAAATTTTTGTTTAGTTAATTGCACAATTTATTACAAGAATAATTCTCATCATTCCTTTTGCTACATAAGCTACCAAAATCTACACAACGACATGCACATGCACCTGTGCAGTGCACTGCCATGTCAGACGATAGTCTGGAAATGGCAACGCTGTACAGGAGCTTGTCACCAAAGAGCATCTTTAAATCTGGCTGATCTGCAGACTTCTACAATGTAAACTGTCCAATGCCAGGGGGCAAGGACATGTCTGTGGGACTGTGTCATTGGATAGGCAAACAATGACTGTAAAGTGGAGACAAGGGAAGGGAGGAAAGCAAATAGCACACTTGCCAGATCAAATTATTTTGTGTAATGTACAGTACATCAACTGTCACAAGTGCATGCCAAGTTGGAATTCCTGGATTCCATATATCACGGGACTGCACGGAGTTTTGACTTCATTGGTGCACCAACATTTATTTCGCTTTTTATGTTTGTTCACCGCTGCACATACTGTACATGTATGTTTTGATATTTATGTGAGATGACTTGTGCAGGTGTCTGGGAAGGGATGTCCTGGATTCCCAGGGAGGCACAGCCCTGTTTTTCTTGCCTTCCAATCTCTGTGATCTGGGCTCTAATGTCTCATGAAGCTGACAAGTGGATTGGGTCGTCAGCAGTCCTGAACTGTTACTGTAGTTACTGTGTTACAATTTCACTGAGATTTTCCCACCAGCGTCTGAAACTTCATCCTTCTCTTCCAATTTTCATCAGCCCTCTGAGCTACATTATACATGCTTTTGAGATATCCTTCATCCTTGGTTTCAAAAAATTGATAATAATAATTTTCAACAGCAATGAAGGAGGCTGTTGAAGATACATGTACTTACATGCAGCTGTAATATAGTAACTATAGGATGCACTGCCAGCGCATAAATCAAGTTACATGTACCTTGTCCTTGTACATGAATGTACATGTACGTATATACATGTACATGTACCATATAAATGTGTATGGTATGCTACAACATGTACATGTACAAGCACTGGTAGTATACATGTACATGTGCATGCTGTACCGTACATACTGATCACAACATGTTTACCGCACACACAAACATGACATGTAGGCCTGCATGTAGGCCTACACTGTACATGTACATGTAAAATGTACATGTGTACCATACAGTACAATTGGCATGAAGCTGCAGACGGTACATGTGCCATACATGTACATGTACATGTATGTACATGCTATATGGAGCTACATGTACATGAACTGTGAAATCTGATTTTTATTCTTTGCATTGTGTGATTCATACATGTACATGTACTCGATGTGCATGTGTACATGTACTTCCACATGTGTAGAGGGAGTTGAGCCTACATGTACATGTACACCCCTACGTGTACCAACCACTTACCGCCCACAAACACATCTCACAGCCTACACCCCTACCATCCACGCACCGCCCACAAACACATCTCACAGCCTACACCCCTACCATCCACGCACCACCCACAAACACATTTCACACTGATATCCAGCATCTTTCAGACACACAAACAGTAAATGTACATGTAATTTTTATTATTACAAAAAGATGAAACAGGCAGAGTGAGAAAAGCATAAAAGCTATAAGTTGCCATCCAGCAACCCGTACAAATCTGAAGCACCAAGTTAAAAAACACATAGAAAAGAAAAACAAGTCACGACATACACACGTATGTAAATCATGATCCAAAGAAAGAAGGAAGTTATTTGCCTTCTCTTTGAAAGAATGGACGTTGCCAGCTTCACATATTGATAGACGAGAAAGACGAGTATTCATTGACATACGTACAGTACATTTCCATTAACCCCCTCCTATTACCCCAGACTTCACCATATTACCATTTGCTGACCAACACAACCACTTAGTGATGACCCCAACCCAATGGCATATTGTAAACGACAGCAAGGACATGTACATGTACAGTAGAATTTTTTCCTGCGTTTCTTCTCTTTTTTTCTACAGCCTAGCCAACAGGGAGATGACTCAACTGGGAAGCCCCCTAATAATCAAATTACATTCTCATTGTGTAGGCGTTTATTGGGAAGGCAAGCGGTAAAGGCTAAAGCTATGAAGTCATTCCCATGGCATGGCTCTGGCTAACAAAGGTCTTTTCCACTGAAACATATCCGTATATGTACCCATACACGAGCAGGCAGTATGATTCTGCACAGTGAGCTGTTGGTTCAACCCTAACGGTCCAAAATCCTCTGATTTCAGAATGATTTTACATAGATGTACACCCTGTGAGGGTTAGGGTTAAATAATAATAATACATGTATACATGTAGCAATTTTCAGTAACAAACCGATGCATGATAAGTGACAAAATCGTTTTTGGAAATTTCATTTTGGAATTTTGTAATGTACAGAAAAATCTTAATTTCACAGAAATTGGAAAGAATGAAGGACAGAACAACTTGTATTTATGCCCTAACGATACATACATGTAGGCCTGAATGTACATGTATGTACAGTACAAGACACAATGGATTTAAGAAGCTTCCTCATGAACTACATAATAAGCCTTTTGAGAGTTAAATTTGAATGAAAATCTGGCACACTGAGTTATCTGATTGCACATAAACATAAAATTTGAATTCTCCAGACTAAAGACATTGTTGCTATACCTCCGAATTCAAAGCAAGCTTTTGCACAGCAACAACCATTTCTGGAATGGACTGGTTCCTTTGTGCCCTTCTTATCCACTGAAAACAGTGTATTGGTGCAAGGCGTCTCTTATGTATTTAAGCAAAAGCTTGCCCTGAATCACAAGGTATAGCAACAGTGTTCTCAGTATGAAGAATTCAAATTGGTATGTTCATGTGAATTTGAAGAACTCAGTGTACCCAGATTTCATTCAAATTTAACTTGCAAAAGGCTCGTGATAATGTGCACCAGCAGGGGCTTGGGACTGTCCATGAATGCACCTGTGAAATACATGTACAATGTACACGTAATGACTTTTAAGATCACACATCCCTTACGCACAATACGACATATATACAAGTACACAGTGTAGGCTATGGTTCAAAATCTCTCTCGCCCTCTGCACATCCTACATACATGTACATGTACATACATGTACATGTACATGTGCATTCCATATTGCATCATGACAAAATCCAATGTGTATGAGACGCTCCCAGTACTACAATGAATTCAAGATAAAAGGAAGGGCTGAGTCAATTTGAATAATTCACTCTTTGAATATTTGACCTTCAATTCAATTGAATATCCATATATTCGGTCATACCACCCCGCAGATTGTTAATGAACAAAACATATAAAAAATCAGTTGCAAAAATGCTTACAATTGTACATTATAATCACTATTATAGCTTCTCATGTCTAGGAGCATCTCAAGCCACGATTTAGCAAGATATAGGAGACGAATAAAATTTCTGTTGCTTGGAAATTGTTGAATAATTTACTCTTTGAATCATTGTAAGATTTCTGTTGCTTTTCATTTGAATCTGCTTGAAACAAGCCTCCATAGTGCAATTTTTCTCATTTAAAACATAAAAAATTCTCCCTTCCTTTTCATGAATTTTGCATTCGAACATTCAAATGTGGAAAACAGTATTCGAATATTCGATAATTGATCGAATATTTGGATATTCAGCACAGCCTGACTAAAAGCAAACTTATGAAAAGCAATGGTATGCACTCTATCCCTTTGGTGGGAACTCACTGCACGAGTGCGAAGGTTTATGTGGGTTTTGTACGGGATGCAGAGAGTAAGCCCAATTACTTTATGTTGGAATATATGGTCTTTGCATGTGAGCCGGGCCCGTGCATGAGCTCACTTCCCACCAGCCTGTCTGTGTACATGTACATGTATGTACTGTACATTGTATATGGAATGCTTTCTGTTAGGACAACCAGTACAATGCAGGAACCAGGAGCCAACAATCATTTCTGCAGACTCCTTTAACTGTCCGATACATTTCTCTTGGATATCTTTTCTCTCTCCTTTGTACATTTTTACAGAATGTGAGATGATTATCCAAACCGCCTAGAGTGACGCTGACTATACTGCTTGTGGCACGCAGGGTACCAGTCTGCCATATGAGCCATGAATCTACAACAACAACAGGAACCAGTTCATGGTCAAATACTGAATAAAACATGATGAAAAAAAAACAGGAGTTCCACACATGCATCCCTTGACACCACGTGGGAAACAATTCCATTCACAAATGCCACTATTTTCTCTTTTTCTCGTAGTGTCCTATTAGCCATCTGCTGGCAAGAGAATGTCCTGAAAAGTCAAGTTCAGTTGTGAAACGTTCTACGCACATGTAGGTATTCATCAGAAAACTCTTCAAATAAATATTGTTGTTGAATTGAAATTGCAATATTTTGGGACCACTCTCATTGGGCAAAGGGTGTCAAGTGGCGTCTGTGGGGGGGGCCTACATGGAAATATTTCCATCCTGTACACAAACCGGATGGTCTGGAAATTGTCTGGAAAATGTTTTCTAATGAATGCCTCAATCATTTCAATATTCCGATGGCTAAAAAACATTGCCACAACAAGGAAATATCACTGTAGTCACTGTAGTCACATTCATGTACATGTACATGTAGTAACACTGTAACACTGTCAGTGATGCCCATAAGTGGAACACAGAACCTGAGATTTTTTCAGACACCACAATTGCGGTGTTCATTAGCACCCTGTTCCTAAAACAAGAAAACAAATTACACCTGTACACTGTGTAACTGACGTTTAGACTTTGAGGATCCATTCCTTAATTCCAATAGCTTAAGTCAGGTACACAAACGTAAATTCTGACCATATTCCATGCAAGAGAGCCACAATTTTCTCACCCAAGTTTGGGGACAGACAACCACTCAGTGGGACCACACCATTTTGTTTCACGTCTGGTTACCAGACCCGGCCGTTGTGGATATCAATGTATGTCAAAACAAATCTTCATTCAGGTCAAGAAACCTGACTGCTTTTACTAATTTGTCTTGGTTCACAGGTCTTTGTCGCATCTGGAATGCCATACTCCGTGATTACCAGTGAGAGGTGCACAACATACTTCAGAGACTGTCCCTAAATGTGGAGAAGTCCTTTTATTTGGAGATAAAACCAGTCCCCTCAGGCCTCAGAGAATGTCTCCTTCCAAGGGGACATTTTTCCCAAGTGGGATTGGGTCAAAAATATTCACAAGTTGTAGTATCAACTTTTTCTCCCATATTTTCCATTCATATAAGTTATTTAAGTTGTTTTTTAATGAACTTTGCACCATGTCACTCAAACTACACGTAAAGGATTGATATTCGGAAAAATTGTACTGATATGGTCTCTTTCCCACCATTTCTGTCCCATTGCAGACTCCTGCTTGTAATCCTAGAAGTAAACAGTAGAATTTTTTTTCAAAGGCAGCGGTGGGTGTTTTTTCTCCTGAATCCAATTATGGCATTAATAACAGGATCCCCAGGGCAATGGTTGGATCCCTAAGCCCACTTGAAAAATAACTGTCCCCATTTAGGGGGACATTCTTTTTTCGGGGACAGGATTCGTCTTCAAATAAAGGGACTTCTCCAAATGGGACAGTCTCTGAGTTGTGATGTGCACCTCTACCTACCCCAGAACTGTGGGGTCCAACGTCCGCCCTGCTCCCACAAATTGGGACAAACATTGGACCCCACAGGTCTGGGGGTACACCTCTACTGACTACCCTCAAAACCCAGGGCCCTCTTCTCTTTTCTTTCTGCTATGAAAGAAGACATTACCAACAAGATAAGTTGTTTGAAAAATGGTAGACTTTGTTTCATTATTATAATAAAAGGAAGACATGAATATGAATAGGATCTGTAACCCCATGAGAGTTAATCGGTTTCCATATTTACAACGATGGGCTGGATACCGGCCAAGGCCTATTTGTTAATGATAAGGTCTAGCGAGTTCCACAACTTGGGACCTACCCCCCAGAACTGCGGAGTCCGACATCTGAGCTCAAGCGGGGCGGACATTGGACCCCACAGTTCTAGGGTAGGACCCTCATGTCTCATTGTTTTAGTTGCAAGTTTGGTGCATCGGATCACCTTCCTGATAATGCAAAGTTTGGCATGCTTTAACACTAGTGACGGCGACTAACGGTATTCTCATTCTATTCAGGGGGATTGTAAATTTGGGGACCCTGTCCTGCCTGTTCCTACATGTATTAGACAGGAGAGCTACATTTTAACTTTTGAATTCACCTTCTGAGCTGACCTTGGTAGATGACTGTGACTGTGCTCAATAACCATGATAACTGTAGGGTTGATGTTGTCAAAAAAGGGTAGGGTTTTGAGTTTTAAGGGGAAACTGTGAACAGAACACATGGTGGATTCAAATCTGCACGGCTGGTTTTTCAGTAAAATAGTCACATTTTCTCACAATTTACAATTTGAAATTTCCCCAAAATAGGGTCAGTGCAATAAGGAGAGCGTAGCCTTTGTTTTTGGGGGGACTTACCAGTTTTGCAAGACTAAAATAACAAAAAACAGTGGGGGTCCCAAGTTTACAATCCCGCATTCAGTGTCGGTTTTACAGCCTTTTCCATTAAATTAACCACAATGACGAAAACACGGGTAGAGTCGGTATTCAATTCAAATCGTCATGATCGTCTGACATGACAGTGACAGATGCATTCACTACAGCGAAAACAGTTTTCAGAAATACGTTATATGTCACAAAAGTGACAATGCTTGAAATTTTTTCACAAATTCGTGAACTTCAATCCCATTTCTAACGATACTATAAGTGGAAAGAAAGATCATTTTTACAGAGAAAAGATAAACCGTACCTGAAAAACGTTCGGCTCGATCGCAGACGTCCGGGTGAAAGTTCAAATTACTTGTCCAAAATTGAGCATGCGCATTTTTAATTATGCCGTAAAAAATGAAAGAGCAGCTACGATTGGATAAACCACATCGATTTCTACCAATGGCCATGCGTGTAAGACACATTTACAGTGGCTTATCAGCGCGGAGGGGGCATTAATTTGGATTTACAAAAAACTAAAATCATCCATCAACTTTTCAACAAAACTTCATCAGTATTGAGAAAAGCCAAATGCGATTAGCACCCAACTGAATGCAACCGAATAGGTTGAATGGTAGTCGTTTGGGTGTTGCAGGCAACTCTTTCAGGCAACTTAAATTTCTAGGGGGCACGTCACAACATGGAAAAGGCTTTAACTTTTCAGTGTTGTTTTGTTTTAATGGCAGTTTCAGCAACTCAGGCTATTTGCGCTATTTGCGCTATTTATTCATACACTTGAATAATCAGCATCAAATTACAGAGTTAGGAAGAAGGTCCAGTTCTAGAGGCAGGAGGAAACCGGAGTACACAGTGCCAGTGCAAGAGCGAGTCGGAGTAGATACCAACTCAAAATACCGTCACTGCGTGGGCTAAACAGGGACTCGAACCCGAGGTTATTGGTGCAAAGCGAGGAAAGAACCGCTACGTTGACCTGCTCCCCAAAAGGTTTATTAATAGCTCCATGGTCAGCAGAACGGTAATTTTGACTCCTGTGGTTTTGCCGAAGTATCTCGCCAGCCCCCCCCCCCGGCTTCGAGCCTGTTCGTTTATTAAGTGGTTGATTTGGACATGGAGGAAGGAACGCAAAAGGGAGGCTTTTCTGTGTTTTCTTCCATGGTTTTTGCATTTCTGATTACCGGCGCCCTCAAGCGCCAATACAATGCTTTCCTTCGCGCCCAGCGCTCGAAGAGGGCGGGGGGGGGGGGGGCTGACGGCTTTGCACTGTGATTGGCTACATTGTGCCCGTCTTGTGACCGCGAGGTTATCACTTCTCGTAGCTGCTCGTATTTCTTTCACTAAAATCTGTACAAGGTCTTCTGCCCTTCCCATAGGCCCAGAGTCCGATTTGGGAACCGGGTGACGATGGAAAGATTCTCTGCATGCCCGAGGATAACCTCTTCCTCTCCAACACCACCCCTGCATGGACACGCCCACTACGCGGCTACCTCACACCGGGCCCCACCCATCTCGCTCCCACCGGCGAGGGGTCAATTTTTTAAGTCAGACAATTCCTTTGTGAGAATGTACGAACTGCCTGATATATCATTCTGATAAGACCCAGTCCTTGCCCGGGCCCGAGTACGGTTCTTTTAAAAACCTTTTTTTTTTCATTTCAATATGATGCGTATTTCCATATTGGTGAAGATCAGGAAAAGCAAACAATAACAGTACAAATATATAAATCGAGAGATCATTATAGAGAAACAAAAACAAGAAACACATAAGTAAAGGAAAACACTTTACTCTTCACTTTAAAATTGTCTTCGGGATCCTTTGCACTGCTCTGTTGATTTCAAATTCCTGAACTCACACAAAGTCGGTATAGAGAATTCATACTGTTAAGTACCAGAAACTTAGGCTGAAAATGAAATAATATATGCCAGGAAATTACCAGCAGGGAATGGCAGGGGTCGGTTTAATTGCCTATTAATGCTTTGCTGAACTTCAGGCAGTTTATCATGACTCTATGGACTTTGCTTGGCATTTAAAGCCCGCCCTCATTACCCAAGTAAAAGCCAGGCAAGAATAGACTAGCCAAATGGCACGAGCAAATTATGTTCATATTAATATTTCACTTGAACGAGGAAGAGATATACGATTTGTTCTCCGAAGCCAAACTGCTACTACCGCAGGTGCACTTAATTAAATGCATTATGTGGTACGTTAAGTGGTTAAATATTGATTGTACGATCGCGAAGACCAATCAGAGCGCTCAGGCTATGCCGATGCTTAATTACGAGGTCAACGCACTTGTACAATTTGCAGTTGGCCGGTCCGATATCGTGTGGCTTGTCTGAGCAGTTCCTAGAAAGGATAGACATGATCGAGGAAATGCCCCGATTTCTGTGGATAAGGTTCTGAGGACTGCAACGTGTGGAACTGTTTTGGTGTTTAGATTCGCTAGGGTATTGTTTGCAGTGACTTTGAGGTGTGGGTGGACCTTTAAACGAGCTCACATTTCGGTTATCACTGAGTCATTTCCCCAGACTCGGCGTATGTTGTGTGTTAGAAAGCAACATGTCTGATGGACGATACCATTCTTAAAACAGGTAAGACTTCTGGTTTCGGTGTAGATAGGTTCATAAAAATATCCCAGTAGTCCTCATTTTCTGTTTTATGTTTGTGATATTATTCATTTGTAATGTATTAGAAATGTAACTGATCGTTTTATTCAGGATTAAGTTATTCATTTGGTTTTGCTGTTCATGGAATTGGAAAGTGGATATTTTAGGAGAACCCCTAATTTTATGGACTGTCTTGGACCGGTTCCTGCATCCTTCCGGGGTTAGCTTGTGCTTGGCAGTCGTTACGGTTTAGCTTGTGTCAAAAACACGAGACCAAAACATTGCCAAAATTCAGCGATTTGAATTATGGATTTAGCTCCTAAAAGGGTGTCTTGTGTGTCTGCTGGTGATGCTGATATTCGCCAACGTCTTCCGGCAGGGTTTCTAGTCAGGAGAGCTTGTAAGTCCAAACAGTTTTGACATCGAGAAGTCGACAATGTTTTAAGATATGATGTAACAGAAGTGGTATGGTATTTGCCAAAAAATGTGATTTACGAAGCGTGTATCCATGTACAGGTGTCCAAATGTACATGTGTGCGGAAATTGGACTTTCGAGGAAATAGAACTCTGTTTGGCCCAAGTGTGACCTTTAGTATTTTCCATTGTTTACAGATTTGCTCAAGCATACTTTTATGATCCACTCAAAATGGTTACTACTTGCAATATCATTGAATATGTATTGTTCGTGCATGCTTCTCAGATGTTAAAGCATTTCTCTGTTTTGTCAAAATGACTGAGCTTCGTGTAGAACTTGTTATTCATTGTCAGTGGGGCGATTTCTATTTTAATACCCACGCTCATAAATTGAAAACAAGTTGAAAGACAAACTTGCAACAACTACAAATCAATTTTTCACATTGAACACTTTCATGGCATGTAATCAGTGTGTCTACCTGCCATCATGCACATATCTGTGTACAGTACCATACACGTACATTTACAGTCTACAAAGAGATCTGGAGAGTCTGCGGCCAGTTATTTTGAACTCCATCTGTGTATTACAAAAGAGATATACCTGTTCATGGATAACATGTCAACAGTTGAACAATTTACAAATCCAAAGTGTCTCAGGCATACTGGACAACTCATTTTCATGAGGTAGTTTGTTTATAATTTTTCAGAAAATCGTTTAGGAAAAAATTGTGAATAACAGATGGTTCAGCTGACATGTACCTCTTGACAGTTTGATTGATTAAAAAAACGTTTGGCTACATTTTCGGATATATGCTTCCAGTACATGTAGTTGAAGTGAAGTGAAAGAAAATCTCAAACAGAAAGTGTACGTTTTTTTTTAAACGGAAAACGATGGGTTCCACGCCCCTTGCTATGTCACTCAGAGGGCTGTTGACTATATCCAATTTGGACATATCAAAATCATATATATGTAAAATGTAACGCAGCACTTGATAATGTAGCATATGACCCCTGTGTTTGGCACATACGTGTAAAGTGTGACACAAATCACAGTGCAGGAGACCGTGGCTTCCCCATAGGTTGTAAATTTCTGCCTGCACCGGTACTTCCTTGCCCCAAATTACATTACTTCATGAAATGGAAAAGCCAGGTGAGCGAGCTTGCAGAGGAAACAATGGGGTATGGGGAACAATAGAGCACCACTTGTTTTGTTTTGTTTTTTTCAGAGAATTCTTATTCTCTTTTATAGGCGCCAAATTTTACATTGTACTGGCGTTAAAATTGATTTTTATTCGAAAACAGAAATCTCTTTTTCGTGAATTTTCTTGTACATGCAAGTCATAGCCTGCATGCTGATTTCCACGTACATGCAGAACAGGAATTCACAAATTACGGCAAAAATGTGCAGACAAGCAGATTAGAACACTGCTAAATATGTGCTGGTTACCTTACTTTATGTAATTACGTGTATAGTTGAGTTTTTAAGCTTTCTACAGTAATAGGTTATGAATACGTATATGTATGTAAGTTGTGTGATCCACGCATTTCACCGAGTCATTGCCATCTTGTTTACAGCGTACAGGTAGTATTTTGTCACATCCTGTGTTTATTTTTATTCCAACAAAATGACTGACCATTTCCTCACCTTTTTTCTGTCAAGCTTCTTTGGTTTAGTTCTTTAATTTCCTGAATGAATGCCCATGGAGCATACAACAGAAGCATTTGGCTATAAATGGAATAGAATTTTTATGTGGTGGTTTTATTTTACGAAACTACACAATTTGGTCTTGTTGCACAGTTTGCTTTCACGCGAACACTTTCATCTGTAGGTAGGTACATGTACATTTCATCCCAACTTTGTCCCCTGCTGCAACTTGGTCCGGTGCCCAGCTTGGGTTATCAGCTAGAATTTACTTCAAAAAAGAGCGCAGTTTAATAAAATGAGAGAACTGGGCCGTTGTCGATTTTTAGAAAGGTTTTTTTTTTGGTTGAATGTTTAGATGTTTTGACTGGGGTAGCAAAATTGCTGTTTTATGTACATGTACCAGTATTACTAATGTCATTACACATTCAACTGATTTGGATTTTTCTCCCCTCCTGTCCTGGTTTCTTTTTGTAATGGATCGGGGTTTTTTTCCCCCAAAAGTATAAATACAGTTAGGTTTGTTTAGCTATTTTCACTTACCACTACATCTGGTATTTCCAGTGCAATTTCAGGACACTGATTGTCCTTTCTCTGTGCGCTTACTGAGCAGTTTTTTCCAACCCAAGATGGGCATGCCAAAAGTTGGGCCCTTCACATCCCCTCCCCCCCGGACAAAGTTGGAATGTACATATATCAGTCGCAGGTGTATTACTGTTGGAGCAGGTTCTGAATGTATGTATTCATGAACTTGTGTACATGTATGCAGATAATCTCCTCAGTTATCTTTTGCATTTACATGTACATGTACATTGCACTTGTAGAAATCTTCTAAATCCTCCAAACCAACCACTGCTTGCGGCAACCGTTATGTCACTCACTGGCACACGGGGCCTAAAAAGCACTTAAAATCCTCAAGAGTGCAGTTTGGAACTGTACCCAATCCACTGCATTACTTTAGCCAATTGCTCCATGTAGCCCAATAAGCCCAACCAAGCCTTTCTAAAGATTGGATGGATACTGTGTAATCTTAGGCCGTTTTTCCAATACTCTGCTTCGTCTCCGTCTCAGGCTTCGTTCCAAAATCCTATCCCCAATTGTGGGCCTGAAGCGTTTGAATTACATTGAATTACTGTAATTTTTGGCTTTCTTGCATCTTGTTTGATGTTCTGTGGCACAATTAGGCTGATTACTGCACTTACAGCTTCAAAGTCAGCCAGTAAAAAAAACAGTTGAAGCCTGAGACAGAGCCAAAATTGAGTATTGGGAAACGGCCTTAAACTGAAACTGTGGGCACATGTAAGGAGTTAAATTATTAAGATTCATGATGAAAGCCACCGATACGGGGATTGGGCATACACTTGCTGTTCATTATTGTCCCAAAAAGGCAACAGCATTGGAGGATTTACGAGGTTTACTATCAGGACAAAATGTTGAGCTCTGGGCTGATCTCGTGAGGAAGACAAAATTGTTGAAAGATTTGTCACATTAAATTTGTTGTTGCCACCTAAATTGCATCATTCACCCCTTGTCACCAGTTTGATTTTGAATTTTCCTTTTGTCTTTGTTTTATCATTTTGGTTTCCACTGCATGAAACCTCCCGGATTTGTTCTTTCTTTCCAGAAGCGTAGCCAAGTTCTCCAAAATAAATCGGCCGATCCAGTTATCAATTGTCCACCAAGTGCAAGGTCTGGTACGAACTGTACCCACGCCGACGCTGGTCCGTTGCCAATTTCCAAATATCCCCCCTCCAAAAAAAAAAAAAAGTGAGCAAACCCTAAAAAAGAAATCGGGGATTCCCTACTTGTTGCTTGACTGCATGTTATTGTCATGAAGGAACGATCGCGGAGTCGATGGTCTTTTGCATCCTGGAGACCTCGCAGTAGGAAGAAGGCACGGGAGGCAGCCCTGGCTAAAAAGAGTAAATTTTGAGTTTGTTACCATTTTTATTTAAATACATTCTTCACAAAAAAACTTACCGGTGTGCTTTCCCTCATCCCTCACTGCCCTCTCCCCCAAAACTCCAATCCCCCCCCCCCGGAGTGCCTGCTGTTTCCATTAACAAGCTATTTCCTAACCCAACGGAAAATTCTTATTCTGGCAAGGTAAAGCGAACCGCAGTCCACTGCTGCATTATAATTACATGTATATGGACTTGACGCCGACAGCTTCTGGGGATGTGTGAAGGTGCGTTGTGGTTACCAGACTCTGGCTCTTCCAACTCGCCAAGTTTCATGCCCGTGACATTCACATGCGAGACTACATTATGCCTTCAACAGCTTTCCCGCTTTGAAGACTGACTTTATGTTGATAACAGTGTTGCACATGTGCAGAACAATATGCAGATCTTTGTCAGTGTGTGCTAATAACATTCAACAGCAATAGAACAGAAGCTGCACGTTAAGTTAGAATCAAGACATAGCCAACTTTGAAATTATGTCTAATTTTGAAAATGATACATTTTGTTCATATAAAATTAACTGTATTTCTGATACTTTTAATGCCGAAAGTAAAGAAAAATTGGGCACAAAGTTTACATAATCTTGAAAAATTGGATACAAATTTGCTGAGCCTGAAAATGCATGTATGTAATTTGCTTAGCTACAGAAATGGGTTACATGTATGTAATTTGCTTAGCTACAGAAATGGGTTACATGTATGTAATTTGCTCAGCTACAGAAATGGGTTACCGGCTGAAATGCTTTGCTGAATGTATTGCCTCATGATCGGCTCCTTGCCGATTCATGCTTTAGTGCCCAAATTTGCCGTAAACCACCATAGTTTCTGCTCGGTGGTTGCTTAAAACGGGGACCAAAGGGACATCAAACTGTCAAGAACCTCCTTCGGGATTTGAGAAGAGACGATCTTGATACGTTCATAGGAACATACATAGACGGATGATCCCAGAGGGTTTGAAATCATCATCCTGCTCACGGTTGGTTTCTACTGTGCATTCCTTTACCCTGAAAGTGTCATCTTAAGATGGTAATAATCCAATGATGAGTCAGCCCATCCTCTCATGGCTCTCCCACCTCCTAATGTTGCCATGGCAACCCTCCTAAACATCAGTTTAGATACTGGTTCTCCTAGTTTAAAAGGTGGAAAATCACTCGCTAATTGGCCCAAACAGCCTGCAATTCAGAGTAAAAATTTTTTATCTGCCCATGCATAGCTGCGCACATTTTTCAGCTGCTGCCATGTAAATTGTTAGTCATGTGCTGTCAGTTTTAGTAAATTAACCGTTTTTGTTTTTACTGCTGACTGAAGCACACAAGCTCCTATTATTGTTTGTATTTTTAAAGTTTTTTGTGGTCATTTGGCTTCAAGTTTCTGGGAGTGAGAATGCCACTGTCTCGTTCACATGTACCAGACTTAGTTTTGCCAACAATTTTTTTATTGTGTAATTCTTTTTCCTTGTTGGATGCTGATGGTTTATTTCCAACAAATGTACAGAAACAATGACTTTGCTTGCTATTTTGTGTTAGTTTTGCCAGGTGCTAAGCTTTAACATCCATTTAATGCACTAGAACTCTGCTAAACTCTTAACAGCGGGCCTCAAACAGTCTTACAAATTATAAAAACCTGATGCAGTGTGATTCTACACAATTTACAGTTCTTTGGAACTGCCAATTGGCCGTTGAATTAATTTATTAGATAGCCTTGAGACAGCCTTGCCAAATTTTACAATGGTGTGCCCTCGTGTACGAAACCATTTTTTTTCCTCCAGTCATTGTAAAATCCCAGGCTATTTTGGCGCAAATAAACAGCATGCAGTTCTGGGAAATTCCCCCCCTTTTTTTCTGGTGGAGGGTGCATTGGCTGCCCTAGGTGGTAAAAATGCAAAACAGCATGTGGGCAGACAGGAGGGTTAAAGGTGTCCATATTCATCTTGTTGCAGTGCCTTAGTGTAGTGTACGCATTTAAAGTGTACTTCAAAATGAAGCCTATTGTATGCATACACACTGGTATATTGTACACACAACACTGGGGAACAATACCTGTTTACATTAATTGTGTGCCCCTGTGCTGTCTACTGCATCATTGTGTGTCTCTTGTATGGTGAACAGGGTGTATGCTTGTACATTTTCAATATGTACTCATGTACATGTACACATGTCTATGTACCATACCGTGGTAATGATCATCTGTTCATTATGTATAGAGGGATAGTGCACGTTTTCATTAATTTTACATATGGGTACTGTAGTTTGGAAACCGAGGAGGCCACTCTTTACAAATTGAAGCCACACTTTGCAACTATACGTATAAAGAAGAGCTTCTCAAACTTGTCGTTCTAATTCCCTGACGTGAAAGTTTGTTGTAAAAAAAGGAAGTCAAGTTGTAAATTTCATCGTCGAGTCCACCGATCGTGCAGGCCGGCTGATTGTTCCCGACCTATAGGTACAGTCAAACCTCGTTAATAAGAGGTCCTTGGGACTTTACAAACTACCCTGTTTTAACAGGAACCTTGTATTATCAGGAGTGGAAAGCACTGCAGAACAAAGACTTGAGACCTGAACTTTTTCTCGTAATAACAGGAACCTTGTTTCAACAGTGCTCTTCTGATGGAGACTTGACTGTATGCACACGTATTGTTCATTGGAAATGTGCACTTTGCTCATAATTTCACATGACTGCAAAAGCAAAGTTCCTCGATTGATGTCAAGCGTTGATTTGTTCTGAAGCTTTCTTTTGTTGACGGGTTGAATTCATTCCTAAAGTGCCCGGGCTTGTCAGCCAGCTATCATGCACAGAAAGCGTGCGTACCGAATCAGGAAGACCAGAACACTCCTTAAAGAGGGATGGCCCAAAAAGTTTGGGGGTGAGCGACAGCATGGTCAAAACATTTCAGCGGGAAATACCCCCGTTGGTCCCTCATTGTTTTCTTCCGCCCACTGAAATAACAGATATTTCTTCCCCTAGTTGCCTTAAGCTGCACAGAAGTGTACATGTGTCCAACGTGCAACTGTCTATTTGCTACTGTACATTTGTCCTGCTGATTTCGTTCTTGGCTATCTTTCCATCTGGTGGCTGCTCCATCCTTCATTCTTCCTCCCTGCTTGTCATTGACCTCCTCTTGTGCCTGTGTGTATACATCCTGCCCCGGCTTCTTAAAGAAAATGCAGGCCGTGTCAAGCCCAGCGGCCGGGAGACGGGGCATGAGAAACCCAAGCATACTGCACCGATTTTTATAGCGGGAAGAGTGCGAGCGTGTGCATGTGTGTGTGGAAAAGCCGCGGGGAGATTGTGGGTAAAATTATGCACCCATGTTCCTGGCACTGGTTGATTGAGATCGGCTGATAACAGAGCTTGTTCTGTTTTGCCAAAGTCGTCCACGTACGGTATCTAAGTCTCTTTAAAGGAAAACAGAAGAGAAGATTTCCTGTTTTCTTTTGCATTGCACTTGACTTACGGTACTTACCCGGTACACGCACAGTGTACAGTGGACCACGGTTATAGCAAGAGCCTTGGGACTTTACAAATAACCTTGTTATAATAGTTATCTTATATAAATCTTCAGTACGTGTAATGGAAGACAAAGACTTGGGACCTAAAATTGTCCTTGTCTTAGCTGTGCTCTTCTTATCTTGTTCAACATGTACATGTGTACGTGTGTGCCGTACACTGCACTTGTGTACGTGTTCCTGAACATACATACCCGTGCATGTAATTATTTTTCAAGGATGATTCAGTAGAATTCCCAGAAATGCTCGGGTTACTCCAGCCACAGTAAATCTTCAGGTATCATGTAACTGATGCCAGCCCATCCCCTCTCCCCAAAGAAAACAAGACTACACCTACATGTACCGGTAGTGTACATGTACATGTAGGTGTGCATAATGTACATGTACTGCACAGCGTAAACTGCTCCTGCCAGTTTGACTTTGGACGTGTACATTAGGTCGCTTTGCCATCTGTCCTGTATGAGACTGGAACAATGAATTAGAAATGATCTCACCCATGCCTTTTTTGGAATACCCCAGATGACTCATACGTGCTCATACATGTACATTGTACCTACATACGCTGAACAGTATGAATGTACTGCTTGCATTAGATCTGCCTACATGTAACAGTATGTACATGTACATTGTATACGGAATAAAAGCAATGAGGAATTCAGGCAAGCATGTTACATGTCACAGTAACTGCCGTGGGTTACCCCCTGTTTGTGTGTATTCTGTGTCATGGCGTAGACTTATCATGGTGCAGGTTCTGTAGAGTTGTGCACCACAGAGGCGGCTTGCCCTGTCACGGGCGTACGCTGGAAAGTGTAGGGTACTTGTAATCAGATCCTTTGGTTATTATGAGAAAGCTGGTTTTTATTATGAAGTACATGTAATTGTTGGTTTGGAGTTAATTAAGTATGTCAGAGAGTGTCAGTGCAGGTGGATTGAGGTAACGTTAAATCGTGGCTCCTCAGTGCTTTGGGTTGGTTAGTGTTGCCCCAAAGACTGGTTTTACTGTTTTGGCCGGTGCACCGTGCAGGCGACATGAACTGGAGAGCACAGCCGAAAAGCACCACCAGTAGAGGGCGCTATATTCACAAGAAACGACCTGCTAGAAAACCAGTCTTGAAGAATCTGGCAGGCTTGCCCGAAAAATGTACATGTACATACTTGTACACGTACCTCAGATTACCGTGAATAGGTGTGCATTCACACTGCCAAGACCACAGTCTGCATGGGGCACGATCTTTGGCAGTGTGTACGTGCATTATTATTCGTGAACTTGAGCGCATGAGGCGTGCTCAGAACTTTTCAGGTAAGCCGACCAGATTCTACACTTGAGACTGGTTTTCTGGCAGGTCGTCTCTTGTGAATACAGCGCCCTCTGCTGGTTGTGCTATTAGGCTGCACCGGCCAATACAGTAAATCAGTGCCTTGTTGAATATTCCGTTGTTACTTGCACTCCCAGCGC